GCCCTCCACGCCCGCCTCGCCTGCCACGTCCGCGCACCCGGCCACGCGCAGCCCGCCCCACCCGCCGCTGGCCCGCCGCACGCTCACGGCCTGCCCGCCGAGGTCGCGCTCCAGCTCCGCCAGCTGCCACTCGCTGCCCTTGGCCGCCACCACCAGCTTGGCCATCCCGCCCTCGACCTCCGCCATCCACACCTTCCCAATCCCGCACGACCCGCGCTCCTTCCCCAGCAGCTTCACCACCCCGCCGCCTCTCTCCAACACCTCCACACGGAACACGCCCCACCGCGCCCCGTTCTCCCCGCCCGCTCCACCACCACCACTACCACCACCACCGTCCTCGCGCGTCCACGTCCACGCCTCGTTCACCACCAGCTCGTTCCCCGTCACGTCGCTCACGTTGTACCCGAGCCCCGCGAGGTTCCCGAGATGCGTCCCCAGCCGAGTCTCTTCGTCGCATCGCAGCCCTAGCAGCACCGGCCACGTCCCGTCAAACCTTACGCTCACCACGCTCCCGCTCTCCTCTGACAGCCCGCCCAGCTCCTCCATCAGCGTCCTCAGCCCCACGTCTCGCTCACTCGTCCCGCCTCCACCGCTGCCGCTGCCGCTGCCGCGCCTCTGCACGCACAGCGTGCATCGACTCCCGTCCGCTTGCCGCGCCCGCACCGCGATCCCCGCCAGACTCTCAAAGTCCCGCAGCGGCGAGTCCACGATCGCGGCCACCCGCTCGTGCGACAGCTTGTGCACCCGCGCGTACTTGATCGCCCCGGCAACCGCTATCGCGCCCGCGGGTTCCAACACCTTCCCGTCGCAATCTTCAAACACAAACTTCACCGCCGCGCTCATCTCTCCTCGCCCCACCCCGATCCGGTCGTCCGCAAACGCCGTCCAGTCCTCCGCCATCCCCAGCCCACTCATCTCATCCATCCCTTCTGAGCCGCCCCGATCCGCACCGCCCTCGTCCAGCAAAGCCCGCATCACCACCCCGACTAGCTTCACCCCCCGCCCGAGCCGTTGCAGCACCGCCGACACTCCCGAGAACAGCAGCGCATTCCCGCCAGCCATAAACACCCGATTCGTATGCGGGCTCTGCTGCAACAGCTCCAGCGCCACCGTCGCATACCCGGCCACCGCGTCCACACACCCCGCCACCAAATTCGGGCCCGTCAAATCCACATACGTCCGACTCAGATCCCCCGCCTTCATGCTCACGATCGCGCACGCCTCCTGGTTCGTATCCCCCGCAATCTCATACCTGGCCTCGAACCCCTCGAGCTGCCGGAGCATGCCCGCCGCCGTCCCGCG